CAAATACATCCTGGTTCTACCCCTTCCCTCTGCCTGTGCCCTCTGCCCCTCACTCCCTTCCACCTCTACAGCACCCCACCCACTGTCACTATGCAGGTCGGCCCTGGCTGGAGGCTAGAGTGGCTGAGGCAGCTCAGACTCGCCCTTGAACTCCCAGAGCCCACAGTCTCATGGCAAGAGGCAGACAGAGCAGTTGTTAGCAGTACAATGTGTCCATGCTGATGAGCACATGATGATCACTGCACATGGCATTTCATGCTGGTGAGAGACAAGTTTCCTGTCCCCAAAGTGGAGCTTGGAGCAGTTCTTTTCTTTGCAATGAGGAGCCCTTACCCAGGTGGGACCTCTCTGGGTGTGTAGAAAACACAAGGAAGCTTATAAGGCTACCCCTGGCCCATCACTCTAGGTGGGTCCCCGGCACATGGGGAGCAAGGTCGTCCTTCCACCATCTTTCAGGGACACATGGTGACAGGGGTGGGCATTGTCTGGCAGCCTGGGAGCCACTCAGGTGTCCTGCACCTGCCTAGTCTATCTAACCAGAGGAAGAGGCTGCCAGCAGCTCCTTCATCAACTCGGAGACAGGGCAGCCTGTGACAGCAGGCTACCCGGGGGGAACTGGAAGGGACAGAGAGAGCCTGGGCTATTGAGCTCTGCACGAGGAGATCAGATGGGCTGGGAAGGTGGAGGCCATTGTTCCCTCCCAGGGGATGATGGCCAGTGCATGAGTTGGAAAGAGACACTCCTAGTGACCACCAGGGGGCACCAAAGCGCAGCCCACGCAGGCAGCAGTCGGCTGCAGGCAGAGAAGGGCTAAGGGTGTGGGTTTGGGGTCTTTGAAGGGAGGCCCATGTGGCTAAGAAAAACCACTGTTCCAGAGACCTGGGAGCCCACCCTGTTGGTGCCATATCCATCTTGCCACCTGCTGCCCTCTCTTCTCCAAGGACTTAGAGCAAATGATGCCGCCTGTCCCACGGATGCCTCTCCCGGTGCAGTGCTCTGGAAGACCTGCGCGCACCTTCCAGTCCCCGAGGGCGGTGATGTCTGCCAGACAGAGCTGGGAAAGGGGGTCACTTTCTCCAGGAGGTCGAAGCGGCATGCTCCAACTCGCATACCTCCATCCACTCATTCAGCCAGATTTACTGAGCACCTACTGCTCTGTGCCAGACACTGCGGTGGGCACTTGGGATAGTAAGGGAACAAAACGAGAGCCCCAGCCTCGCGGTGCTCACAGCCCAGACAAGGGGTCGGGCAGCCTTTGTCTGCAAAGGGCCAAATGGTAAATATTTCAGTCTTTCAGGTCATGCAGCCGCTCAGCTCTGCCTTTAGAGCAGAAAGTCACTCTTGACAAGACAAATGAATGGGCGTGGCCATGTTCCAATAACATTTTCTGGACACTGAAATTCATGAAATTTCCATGTGTCACAAAATATCCCTCTTTGGATCTTCAAGCATTAAAAAAACAAAGAACCATTCTTCTAGATATAGCTCTGGAGCTATGTAAAAACGCAGCGGGCGGGACTGGCCTAAAATAAGGGCCGGCCTGGTCGACCCCGCCCAGGAAGGAAGACCCCGCCCAGAAGGGAGACCCCGCCCAGGAAGAGAGGGAGGCCCCGCCCAGGAAAGGCGAAGACCAGACATAGCGAGCCTCGCGGTGAGCCCCTCACCTGGGCCAGGGTGCAAGCCCCGTAGAAATATGAGAGGGATCAGGGGGCCTGGGGAGTAGAGGAGGGGCAGAGGCAGGCCTTGGCATTAAGTGAAGTGGTCAGAAGGGGCCTCGATGAGGCAGCAAGATGGAGCACTTTATGCTAATTTTAAATAATTTTGTTGGTACACGTAAAATAGGAACCTGATCTACTTAAACACTAAGGCCCATTTACTGCCCTATTCTGTTCTCCCCTCCTTCTCTCACCAGGACATCACAGCTCTGAGCTGTAGATCCTTCTGGACCATTTACATTTGAAAATTTTTGGCCTCATATTCTGTACTCGTAGAAAATATTCGGCATCATTTTGTGTGTGTGTTAGGTGGCAGGATACTGTCCCCATCTTGCTGGGCTAGCTTTTCCACCCACTATGATGTGTTTTGAAGCAGAGTCACATTTCTGCATGTAAAGCTGCTTCATTTCTCGGCTGCGGGGGCGTTCCCTGCAGGGATAAGCCATGTTTCACCTCTCCATCCCTTTCCCGATGGATGGTGGCCAGTAAGGCTCTGCTGAGAGGTACGCCGAGCCTCCTCTCCCGGACTTCTGGCTGGAGCAGCCACTGTTCACTGAAAAGGAGAACGAAGGTTACAAGTCGTGGCTGATGGCAGAGGGGGCCCCAGCAGGTCCCTTCCTGGGCCTAGAGGGCCTCATTTCTGCTTCTCAGCCCAGGCACCGGCCTGATGGGCTGCATTACTGCAGATCTGGGGCCTGGAACTCAGCCCATCAGAGGTATGAAAGCCACACAGTTAGCCCCCTGGCACTGAGAAGGCTGTTGCCACGGTAATGCCTCCCTGATCCCCTGTGCAGCCGCGCAGACAAATGGGGACATCAGCCTCCTGCATATAGAGGGGTCTCTGCTGTGGCTCGAGAGGGTCTAACCCTTGATGGAGGCGCCTGGAGGCCTGGACACACCTAGACATCTGGGTCCTGCTTCCAGGAATGATCCTTGATGCGAATTTGCTCTCCAGGTCTGCCTCCTGCCCAGGCCAGACCCTCTCCAAGGCCAGGCTGCTCCAGCCTGCCCCACCCCCAGTCTGTGGAAGGCTTCTGGGAATCTCACCTGGGGAGGGGGCAGTCCCGGCAGAGGGGCCACAGGAAATTCCAGCTGGCTCACCTGTCAGCCAGCATTCTCCAGGTAACCTCTGTATACCAACCAGGAATTCTGCAGTGACTCCAACATAATTTCTGCCCTTAGGGGGCTCATAGTCTGGTGGGAGATGCAGACAGGTGAATCACCAGTCTTTACAAGTGATTTATCTCTTTGAATTGGTGGTGCAGGCATGTGGTTAAAAACTGCAAACTGCATGGAAGCCTCTGTGCAAATCTCTTGCCCCCAATCTCCCTCCCTCCTGCCCCTCCCCAGAGGCAGCCACTGCCGTCAGCCCAATCCAGTCCTCCAGAGATGGTCTATACCTTCAAAAGCGGAGCATGTCAAGAAACAAAGCCAGCCAGAATCCAATCCACATCCTGCACCACCGGCCGCCCCTGTCTGCGTTTTTCACTGACCAGCATTTCTGGGAGATAATTACATGTCAGTCTGTACAGATCCACCCAATGCTTTTCAACAACAGCAAACCCATAATAATAGCAAGAACTTATACTTACTATGTGCCCGACACTCTTCTAAGCACTTTATTTATATTAACTGATTGACTCCCCCAGACAGCTTGGAGATGGGCACCTCTGCTTATCTGGCTCCGCAGGCAGGAGGCCGGGAATGCCCATTGTGTGATGTGGCCTGAGTGAACCTCCTGATGGACACAGAGGACGTTTCCAGGCAGTGAGCACCCAGAGCACTTGTGTCCTGGAGGATGAATGCTTGGAAGTGAATGGCTAGATCAAAGGGCACGTGCATTTTGAATTTACATAGTTCTTGTAAAATTACCCTCTGAAGAGGTCACACTCAGTTACATACAGGGTGGGATGTGGAGGAGGGCGGCGGCACCTGCCCTTTCCGCTCTGGCAACCAGAGCCAGCATTGCCTTTATCTGCTTTCCTTTCCTATCTTTGCCAATCTGATAGACGAAAACCACCCCTCCGTGCACTTTCCTTTGCATTGCTCTTATGCAAGAGGTTGAGTGTCTTCTCATACATATCAGTACAATCTGGCAGAGTCAGAAATATACAGAGCAGGGTCAAAGGAGCCAGGAGCCAAGAGGCTGGAATGGTTTTTCTGTCAGGGGTGAGGGTGGAGGTGGTCTAGGAGCAAGGCCGGTGAAGACACCCCAGCTGGCCCTTGGGATATGGGGCAGACA